ATTGTGTTTAAAGGCTGCAACAGTCCTGCAGGCTCAGCACAAACTGTGCGAAAGAGACTGAACTCGTCACGGAGCTGCAGGAGCTCTGGAGGGGACAAAGATCAAAGACCGTCAAGCACCTTCCAAGCCAAAGGAAACCATTTAGAGCCAATTCTGATCATGGCAGACAGCGTTTTGGAAGCATTGTGAGATGCAAATGTTCAAAAGGTTCCTGCACACTGCAGGTAGACAAGGAATGAACGTGTGAAGACAGCTGAGGCTGACTGACATGCCACCGAAGAGCCTGGCAGAGACATTCACAAACAAAAAGGAAGGGTAAAAAATGCTCAGCTCCTGAAGCACAATCCTGTGCGCCGAATGGAAAACGCATTTCGCCTCCTTTTTCTATGTAACTTCTTTCTGCCTGCTGAAGTGTATATAAGCAAGAGCAGTTTTAGAAATACCAACTACAGCACTCAGATAAGCTGAAATAATCTAACATGTTGATATACTGGACAGCAATAAGCATTAAAATTAATCAGCCTTCTATCGAGGCCAGTAAAACAATAAAAGAACAGTTATCATCCCATTCTATACTCCCCTGATGTTTTTCCAGAGCTCTAATATGTCTTCCTGCTATCTCAGCCGTAATCAGAAGTGACAAAGATCTGTGAAAAACATACAGAAGGCTGCTTGCAGCTCATTACCTAACATCCTACATGCATAAACCACATCGTTCAGAGTTTAGATCTGAGCTAAATAACAGGAGCTGACGTTCCTTTTTCACATACAGCTGACTCTGCATTCTTCAGTCTCTAGATTAGCTTAATTAGCCCTAAAGCAATCAATAACTATCGTACTGTACCCAGTGCCAGTGTTTCACAATAACCAAAACCCTCTCAGCTACATCAGATTCTGTTGTGTACAAAAGGTACAAACACTGTTTAGCTGAACAATAAAATGGCCCATTTTTATATTTTAGTGTGCATGCCTATTCATGAAGGCCTGCTTTTTTTCCAGTTTTCTATGTCTTAGGGTATCAAATTTGAGTGTCTTAGGGAATTTAAATTGGAGGAGTAAAATTATACTATGTGTGATTTAGTAGTATTTGGAATATTTAATGTAGATTTGATCATCAACTCTGCTAGAAGGTTATTGCTGCTCTGGAGGCAGTCCAAACGGAGAACAACCAGACTAAATCTACTGTAGGTCTGAAAGGTCAGGGTGTCAGTTTCGGTAGGGTGCTGCAAACGTGTGCACTCAAGCCACATGTACCCACTTGCCCCAGTCTCTCCATTAAGCTTCTACATTGTGCTCTGGACACCCTTACCGTGCAAGCTCCCCCCACAACAACCGCTGCCCCAGTACAAGAGGGTTTATATTCAAAAATGATGGTGAACCTATTAGTAGAGAACAGGGCTTAGGTCAGGGCCACACTCTGGATGGGACACAGGGACTGTGTAGAGACTCCAGCTAAGCATGACTTTGCATGACTGGAGGATTTGGTAGATATCTGTCATAAAAAAATGCTTAAAATCAGCACTTTTCCCACACAAACACAGGACCTCCATATCAGCTGTTATAAAATACGTCAGCTTCCCTACCTGTAATTAACTGTACTGGCTACTTTATGTGCTCTAGACGATTGTGGTTATAAACTTCTGTACCTTAAAGAAACATTTACAGTTCGTTGTAAAAATGTACAACTTTTGCAATGGACTGCCATCCTGTCCAGGGTGCGCCCTGCCTTGTGCCTGTTGCTTGCTGGGATAGGCTCCGGCTCCCTCGCCCCCTCTATTGAATAAAGCAGTTAGAAAATGGATAAGAATGACTGCAATTACTGATTTCGAATGTTATTGATCTACATCAGCTGCATTTAGATCCTTATGTGTTGCAGCCCTGAATATTGAAAGACGTCCCTTCAATATTAATTTTAAAATCCCATTATCTTGTCACTCCAATGAGTTTGGTACGAAAAAGCTGTGGGGAATTGTTCCTCGCATGGTTACATGTTTACAGCAAGGGTCGGGACTGAGGTGGAAAAGATGATTTTCATTCACGTACAGTATGTGACTCTGGAACTCCCAGCTCGTTAATATCGAAGGAATGCCTTTCACATTTAATCACAATTTCTTCCTTCCCTGGTTTTGTGTTCCCAAGGTAGTTCTCTTTCATTTTCATCTGTGTAGCTCATTTTCTGCCACCCTGATGAACTCACTTACACCAGCTCCTCAAACCAGCAAAATAAAACCCAGCAGGCTAGGAAAAGACCTGAAAACTGAGAGCATGAATGTTGGGGTGGGGAAGGGATTAAGAGACGGACAGTGCTCTACAGCTCACTTACAGTACCTCTGTGGAATAATATCTGGTGCCTGAATGTTCCAGCCCGATGTTCTGTCTGGAGAGAAAAACATTCCCACATTCTGCTCATGGTAAATTAGTTAGGAAAGCTGCCAGACTGCCACAGGAAGAAGCAAAAATCTGCTCCAGCAATCAGGGCTACTCAACAGTGGCCCATCAGAGCCTCTCTGCTGCAGCACCTCAGTCTGTCCAGCCAATTCACAAGCGCTTCATCGAACTCGGTGCTGAAGAAGCCGGGAAGCAATGGGCGCAAGGCAGGGTACATACACCCTGGACAGAACGCCAACCCATCGCAGGGCACATCTACTGTAGGTACAGACACACTCTCGCACCAGGGGGTGTTTTCTCAGAAGACAATTAACCCTCCCCTCTGCGAACACACAGTGAGAACCTACAAACTCCACGCAATTAGAACCCAGGTCCAGAATTGAACCCAGGGCTCCAACAGGGCAAGACAGCAACCACTATGCAGTGGTTCCCAGTTCTGGTCTTCACACCTGAGCCAAGACCTGTCACATAACTGAACTACTGATGACGCTCATATGACCAATTTGAACCTCTTGATGGCTTCCGCCCTTGAAATACTGGCCGGTTCCTTCTAACTATTTCATTTTATCAATAACCCAAAACATCCAACTTTCCAATAGGCGAAAATCCGTGAAAAGGTTCCCGTTATGCACCACAGGATTAAAGCCATCCAAAACCTCGTTCAGACAGCTGGAAGGTGCTGACTCTCAGCTCTCTGGCTCTGAGCTTTGGTTAGATCCTGCCTAGCACAGTACAATGATCCCTTATGGACACATTAGCCTTCTTTAACCTTCTTTACCAGCAGCAGCTGGTAAACATTTTAGCCTGCTGCTCCTATACACATTTGATTGACCTCCCAGCTCTCAGGCAGTCAGAAGCCAAAACAACACGCTAACACTGAGGTTTGGGACGGGGCATCTCCAGTCATCAAGAGTCCTGTTGGCTATACAGGCACTGTACTTCTCAATTAGAAATTGATTAGGATCTAAAAAACAGATGAACTTCTGTCTTGTCTGGATAATTCAATTCCGATAACTCAGACATGGCACCTACCCCTTAGCTCCTACACGATAAAATTTGAACATGAAATGTTGTCATGTGAAGCATGTTAAGAAAGTCACAAGGGTATCATTTTTCACCTGCGTGACCTTCCTCTGCCTACAGTATTTGATATTGAAATATTTATGCATGCCTTTATTTCATTCAGATTATATTACTGTAAGGTCTTCCTGGGGTATCTCCCAGGGTACCTAATAGGTTTTAGTATCCTATTTCCTGAATTCTGCAGCCCAGGTGCTGACTAATAGAACGTCAGCACAGAACTGCTGTCCTCAGTAAATTGCGCTGCCTCCCAGTGAAATTTACAGTGCACTTCGAGGTTGCCCTGCTCTCCTATAAGGAACTGGATGGCCTAGTTCCAGGTAATTGAAATGATTTACTTTATTTAAGTCCAGTTTTTAATCTGAGATCTGCTGACTCAAGCCAGACCCCACAAGACAGGTGATAGAGCCCTCTCTTGTTCAGCACCATGTCTGTGGAACTCACTGCCCCTGATCCACATGAGGGGCAAACTATTCGCTCAAAGACATGTTTTGTCACGAAATCTCTTAGTGTGTAGTTTATGTCACACTCCAACATCATGCCCACTGTCCCAGTTATCATTTTGACTGACTAGTTTTATTTTTCATTATTAACAGGAATTATTTCAGAACAGCTGCAAGTCACTTTCTCTCCTCTAGGTGTGCTACTACATGTGCTCATGCTGTACCTCTTTGGGTGGTTTGAAGCACAGAGCACTCGAATTGTATAGCATGTTTTTTTTTCCTCATATACATGTTCTTCCTAGTTACCAATGGTTATACAGTAGATCCAGATTTATTTGTCTTTTATGTCATGTCATTTAGAAAACCGCTCTATACCACACGGTGTCGCGGGAAGCTGGAGCCTACCCGGCAAGCAACGAGCGCAAGGCAGGGTACACCCTGGATGGGACACCAGTCCATCGCAGGGCCAGTGCAAGCCAATCACACGGGGGGACTATTTGGAGGCCACGGTAAAGGCAGAGGGGGGGAATTTGGCTAGGACACCGGGATAACTCCCTACTCTAATCGAGAAATGTCCGGGGATCTTTAATGACCACTAAGAGTCAGGACCTCAGTTTAACGTCTCATCCAAAAGACGGTAGTTGCCTTTTATATTTATTAGAAAGATCGGAAAACGGTCATGGCCCCAGAATGTAAAAGCAGAGGACGACAACCATGATGGGACACCTGCACTCACAATCGAGCACACAGGCATAATTTAAAGAGAACAATTGACCTAGCTAGAGGAGCACACAAACGCTATCCTGAAGGAGTCCTAATCCAACACTGAAACCAGGACCCAAGAGCCATGAGGCTACAGTACTGATAAGAATCACTTTGCTTTTTTTATGGCATTCCAAATAACTAAAGCACTTGTATTGCACACAAAACAAATAAAACTATTAACAGTGACAGTAAGACAAGTTAAATTGTGGTAATTTACAATTCATTTTGTGTTTGAAATGCAACACACCAAAGCCTCCACTACCACTGAACAGCATCTAACCGCAGTCCTGGATAGTATGATTTTGAAGAGACAACCTTACTCACCAGAAACAGCTCTTCTTGCTCCACCTTGTGGTTTTTAGTGGGTGGTGCAGGACAAGGTGGACAATGAAGTTGCAGGTACAGCAGTTATTCAATTAAAGACCCACTGCAATGTGGCAGCTACATCTGCTGGCTCCTAGCTCCTGTGTCCTGGGTTCGATTTTGTACTGGGGTACCTTCTATGTGGTGGGTGCTGGTTCTCTCTGTGACTCGTGGGTTTACTGCTCAGAGGGACTGGAGTCTTATTCATCCTGTCCTCCCACCATCGGCTCTCTGTTTCTGGGACAGGTGCAGGTTGCCGAGACCCTCCCCAGGAGGACACACACCTCATGTCCTGAACAGATCAACGTTGGTGTCAAACACTGATCCAAGCAGCTCTTCAAGGCCATAGAAATTACATGATGACCCTAATAAACAGCATCACATCAGTAGGGACTGCTCTCCCACTCACTGAGAGCTGGTGTGTGGGGAGAGTACTGGTGCGCTTTGGCTGCCGTTGCATCATCCAGGTGGGGGCTACACACCGGTGGTGGTGGAGCAGAGTCCCCATGACCTGAAGAGCACTTTGAGTGGAGTGACAGAAAAGCGCTACATATAGTAAGTGTAGGAAATTATTATATCTGCTCTCTATCACATCAGTATATTTTGTTACATTTTCCAAAAGGTTCTGTGCAATGGGAGTGTTATTTATCCCTTTAATTTTGCTAATAGTTTAATATATGTACTAAACAGTCACTGTTTTCCCCAGCAATCAGTTAAGGACTGATCACCTTCTATGTGCACACAAAAGCCGTAAGGAAAGCCATTCCCTTCCTCAGCACAGCAGTACTGACCATTCGGGCCTCCATCATTTTAAAAATGAATCAGAGGAAGCCTGGAGCTCATCCCTGTGACGAGACTTTCCTGACACCCCACTGTAGCTACTGGCACTCTGTCAGGCGCCAGTGACAGGGACACAGGCTGCACCAGCTGTCAACAGCAGCTCCCCAGGTCTCCAAGGCAACCAGCCTGAGGGCTGAGGGCCGGGCCTGTTTCCATCAGTCAGCCAGACCACGTCACAAAGGGAAGGCAAGACTCCTGTAGCCCAGCCCAAGTCGGAGCTATTGACCAGGAGGGAGTGTCTACGGGCTCCTGTCAACATTCAACAGTGTGCTGTAGCAGTAAAAGAGTTTCTGCTGGGAGCAGGTGCTGCCGGCTGGCACGGGGAAAATTCAAGTTCCTTTTTTTTTTTTTTTACACGGACAGCCAGGAACAGTTCTTTAAATGTGAATGAGCTTCGGGCTTTGCTTTCTGACTGTGGCTGCTACGTGAGCGTTTATTTTCCAAAGCAGGATCCCGAAGTCCCAATAGGAACAGGAATAGAAAGACGGGCAGCTCCTTGATCGCAGCCGAGGCCCTGATCACATCCCTTGGGCAAACAGGTGGAACGGCAAACAGCAGGTAGGTGCCATGTCTGTTCTCCTGGCTTCTGAGCTGCAGTTTCCTAAAAGCTGCCCTGTCAGTCCTCAGCACTGACAGGCAGGGCTGTGACTGGATTAGTGAAGCTGCTAAAATGTTCCATTTTCATTTTCCATCAGTTTCCAAGGTTTCGGTTCAATCAAAATGAGGCTTCTGTTAAACAGGGGTATAGGAACGTAGACCACCTGCTATAGGATTTTAGGACTTTGCCCTGGGAACACTTCCCACTCACCCCTTACAAGGATATCTTTGTTCCTAACCCATGTTGGAAGGAAAACGGGGCTTTAATTAATCTGATTTTTTTCAATCTTTGATTGACCTGATTTAATTGGCAGGTGGTCTGGACAGAGGGCTCCCTGTTGGGCTGTGTGGGTCTGTGCTGTGTCATGCAGTGGTTCACACCCTGGACACGCCTGGATCATACTGTACATGAGCTTCAGTAATTCCTGCATGGCCGGACACATGATGTTCTCCTCAAAACTACTTCTAAGATGTTGGGAGTTGCTAGTCATGTTACTGGATGAGTCCCGGTTTTATGTGATGGAGGACTGAACAGAACTGTAGCACAGAACAGTACCATCCAAAAGATTTCAATTCTTGATTGCTGGTGCAGTCCAGGGTCCTTCTTCAGTCTTGTGCAATCAACACAGCATTCTTGATGCCGCTACCGAAATGTGTAAATCTGAATCACTAATAAAGAGAACAAAGCAATATGTGAATATATTGATATTTCTTAATATTAGGATGTAATTGGTTTAAATAAGCAAATAAAAGATAAAATTTTACATTGATACCTGAGATTACATTAATGAGACAATGCAGTAGTTAATGCACTCTTAAATAGGCTGTGCCTTTGTACTCTGTGGCTGGAACGAGAGAATAAACTTATTGGTTCTTTTGTCTCTGGCGTCTAAAACTCTCACTGCACCGTTTTAAAGGTTTAAGTCGCAAATACAGATTGGTCTTGGGGAAAGGTGATTAGAAGTGATCTAATTACTCTTTCAGTTCTGCCACAGAGCCAAGGGATCTGCAGCTACAATTTCCCTCATCAGCTCTTCGGGTCTAGACTGCTACCACAACCAGTTCACTTTCCATAACCGGCTACTTTGCATGTGCCTGGACGAGGTTTCACATGACAAGTTTTCATGTAAAAGAGCCTGTGCGTGTTCTTGATCGTTCCGGCAGTGGCTTCTTCAACTGATAACATCAATGGCTGCTGTGTGCCTTCGGGTATGAGCTACACTGTAAATGAATGAATCATCTGTTCCAATCGCTCTCTCACCTGCTGCGTGTCTGATTAACTGAGATCTCTTTCTCTGTCCACCTCCTTGTGTTCCTTCTTCTCCTGCTGCCTCTTTTCCCATCGCTCTCCCCTCCACTGCTCATCCTGCCTTTCCCAGCCCTCGCGACCCGGCGCTCCCAGAGCATGGCGGACAGTCCGGTGGAGCAGTCCTGCCCCTCTCAGCTGCCCTGGCTGGTGGGGGGCTCCCAGGTGTTCGGCTTGGCGTGTGTGGTCCTCACGGGGGTGTGGATGGGTCACTACCAGGGGGGCTACGCCTGGGACGGCACCGCCAGGGAGTTCAACATCCACCCGCTGTGCATGGTCATCGGACTGGTGTTCCTGTACGGGGACGGTCAGTGCAAGACATTTCCCACTGCCTGGGTTCCATTTCCAAAGCTTTAAGTACAGAATCCCATTTGTTTCTGACAGCAACTATCAGAACTTTCAGTATCCAACAAGCGAAGTATGGAAATGACAGAAGAGACACCACTTACATAGCTTTGAATCACTGGCTGTAGTGGACAGCACAGTGACAGAGAGATTAATTTTGCTGCCCCAGGAATCCTGGTTTCAGTTCTAGCCTTATCGATCCTTCTGTATGGAGTCTGCATGTTCTAACGGGGGTGGGGGGGGTCATCCTGTTTATTACCAGGCACTCTCCTTCTTCTAACTTCCCAAAGACACACAGATCAGGTCTGATCAGGCCGACACCCGGGTCACCCTGCGCTGACCAAGCACGGTACGATACAGTCTCCCTGTCCTGCACGCCCCATGAAAGACGAAGACTGGATATTTCTGGAAGTCGAGTTAAAATATTGGCAGTTAATTACACTTACCCTTTGTTCCCCATAGCATTATTCTTCCTGTGAAATGATCAGCGTGATCTGAACGTACCGCACTCTGAACGAACTGAGACGAGTATTCAGTTTGAGCTTGGATCAGCACTGATATTTCTTTAGGGTCAGCATGAGGAGGCCATGGCAATGGGAATCGGTGTCCTCATGCCTTTAGGATGAGATTAAAGTAAACACACGAAGAACGAAAGAGCAGGTGTGGCTGTAGAGTGTAAATGATTCACTAGCACACTGCTGCCTCGGAGTCTTACTGGCTATGGGATGGCATGGGGGTTCGTTTCTCCCAGACAAGTTCCTCTCGCATCTTAAAAACATCCAGGACAGGTCTGACTGGTCAACCACAAGGAAGTGAGCAGGACACCTGCCCACTGACGAGAGAGGTGCCTCTGTGGCTGATGCCAGGAATCAACTAGGGGTTTCATGGGAAGATAAATGATTTTCATTCCCAAATAGCACAAAGGTTTTACAAAGGCAGGAGGCCGATTGTCTCCTGTGCTCTCAGACTTGTGACAAGAGCTGATCTACTGGCTAAATATCCAGATCCTCGTTCAGAGGGAGGACAGACTGGAATTCAGGCCGGACCACAGGGTCTGGGCTGAATAACTCTCATCCAACTGAGAAACTGACTGATCTCGTGTTTAGAAATGGGTCTGAATTTTCCTGTGCGGACCATCTAATAACACCTCCAAACTGTCCATTTTTCTCTCCTTTCATGGCTCGACCCAGGTCTCCAGGAAGGCCTTCCGGAAAAGCAAACGAACCATAAAAACAGCAATTAGAATCCGCCGTAGCTGAAATGGAACAGGGTGACATTCTGCCCAAGTGCTGAGCCTTGGCTGTTCTCACATGGAGGAGAGAGTCTCCAGGCAGTGCTCATCACTGCCTTGCTCCTTGAAAATGTCATTTCTCTAAGGAGAAAATGAAAATAATTTAATAATACAGGACTCTGAAAAATTACAAATTCACCTGCTGCTTTATATGCCATCCTGAGCTTCTTGTGAATTAAAATCTATCAACGATGAACAAAACAAGATGATGACATTTTGCCGTTTTCACCGAGCTCTTTCTTCCCCCTTCAGCCTGTGGTTTTTAGATAAACTAAATGCTTAATGTTATTTAAATCACATCTGTTTCTTCTAATTTTGCCTGTTTTTCTAACATAAAGGACAAAGAAAAAACACAGCCGGGCCTTTTTACTAAGTAAATTGAATCAGCAGTTGGCCCCAGGCTCTCAAACCCTCACTGTGAATTCAGTTAGGAGGTTAACTTTTAAAGGCCACGGGATCATTAGTAAGTTAGCCGTTTCATTTTCTCACTCAGAACACTTCACAGCAATGGCCTCAGGGGGCCAGGAAAGATTAGACGCACAGGGTGCAGTCTGGCCCAGTCGTTATCTCCCGAGGCCTCATCGCCTGCTGCTGTACCTCACTGGCCAGCCAGCAAGGCTGAAGCCTGACAGCTCCGGTCTCCAAGGGAGACAAACCACATTAAAGATGTTGACTCCAAGTCTATTTCAAGCCCAGAAAGGTGACTAAGAGGAGAGGGTATTGAGAACTGAAACCAGAGTTCTTTTTTCAAGCTGAAACTGTGTATCTTGCGTTTAAAAACAAGAGAAACCTGAAGCTGTTACTCGGTGCAACTGGCATATTTGATTGCAGATTGAAGAGTCATCTAAGAACCTTGCTCAGCCATTCCCTGAAGCCTGAAGGATGCCAGGGTATTGGCTCCACCCGAATCGCTGGGCACCTTATTTCAAATTATTATCTTGTCTGCACTTGAGAGTGGAATTAACCTGGACTGGTTTTTTTCTGAGTAGCACAGTGGTTAACATTGCTGCCTCGCAGAGCTGGGGCCCTGGGTTCAGTTGTGGACCTGGGCTGCTGTCTGTGTGGACTTTGCGTTGTTCTCCCTGTGGCCTCAGTGCTCCAGTTTCCCCCCACATTCCCAAGACATGCTGCTAGTTTAATTTGCTGCTGGGAAAACTGTTCCTTGGCGAGTGTGTGCCTACAGCATATGTGCCCTGTGATAAACTGGCGTATCCTGCCTTTCTCCCGTTGCTTGCTGGGATAGGCTGAAGTGGACCTGCGGCCCTGAATCGAAGACACGTTAAGAGAGTGGATGGGCAGTGTCACTCACTTAAAAAGAAGCATGGCCTCCCTTCCTCTCCTCTTCTCACACTACTGTATCTCTCTCTCTCTCTCACGGGCAGCGCTCCTGGTGTTCCGAGTGTTTCGGAATGAGACCAAACGCGTCACCAAGATCCTGCATGGCGTCATCCACCTCTTCTCCCTCATCATCACCATCGTCGGTGAGTGGGCAGCTGCTGTGTGGCACGCGGGCGTTACGCTTCCTTTTCAGGAACGATAAAGCAGCTCACGCTTAGTAGACAATGATGTCATGCGATTAGGTAGCTGTAATAATAATTAATAATTTCTTACACCAACCTATATAGCACTTTCCTGGACACTCGACTCAAAGCCATTTACAGTACAGGTAATGGGGACTCCACCAGTGTGTACCTCCCACCAGAATGATGTGATGACAGCCATAGTACACCAGTACACTCTCCACACACCAGCTCTCAGGGGGTGGAGAGCAGAGTGATGAAGCCAGTTCAGAGATGGGGATTATTAGGAGGCCATGCTTGGTAAACGCCATTTGGCCAGGACAGCAGGGTAACACCTCTACTCTTCTCGAGAAGGGTAGTCAGGACCTTGCTTTTACGTCTCATGCGAAGGACAGCACCTTTTTACAGTACAGTGCCCCATCACTGTACTGAGGCATAAGGACCCCCTCAGACTGCAGTGCCCCCTACTGGCCCCACTAACAACCTGTGCTTTCCCAAGGTCTCCCCTCCAGGTACTGGCCAGGCTCACACCTGCTGAGCTCCACTGGGCTGCCAGCTGGGAGCTGCAGGGTGATATATCTGCTGGCTTATCAGACAGAGGCAGTCCCAGGAGTGACCCCGATAACCCATCTCAATGCTATCGCATGCAGTCCTTCTCATCTCTGAGCACCTGGGTGTGGGATAGGCTCATCTGGAGTGCTGTATTACCTTTCTGATGGCTCTAATTCTAAATCCTGGGTGTTTGTTCAGGGCTTGTAGCGGTGTTTGACTACCACGCCAAGAACAGGTTCACCGACATGTACTCCCTCCACAGCTGGTGCGGCATGCTGAACTGCGTCCTCTTCTGTATTCAGGTGGGCCGCACACAAACACCCCTTCTCCGATTCACCTCCTTTCTGTATTCTACTCTACACATCTTCCTCCACAAAAAAGTTCGCAAGCATGGAACACTGCTGAGAGACACACAGAAAAACACACTAAACTGGATCCTTTCAAATTAGCATTGAGACGAGGCAGAGAACTGCCTCGACAGCCTGCTTAATTAATAAGGGGAATGATCCCTCTTTTACAGAGAATGGCTGCCTCATACCAATATGTTCAGGGCTTTTAGAAAAAGTAAAGAGTAGAGTACAAAATGTCTGTAGGGACTCTTAAAAACATTGTCACAAAAGAGTGATGAGAATATTTGCCGTTATATCTCGTTGTGTTCTTGTGTGGGAAAGGCATGGTTAACATAGTGCCCAGGGCACTGACGTACATTACCTGCAGTGACTGTGTGTGTGATTTCCATGCAGTGGGTAATGGGCCTGACTGTCTTCCTGTTCCCTGGAGGCACACCAATGCTGCGCAAGTGGTACTTGCCTCTGCACCTCTTCTTCGGCCTGACACTGTTCGCCTTCTCCATCGCCAACTGCCTGCTGGGCATCAAGGAGAAGCTCCTCTTCAGCATCATGTAGGTCCCCTGCTGGCATGACCACCTGCCGGGGCTCTGCCAGCTGTGCTGTAGGGGTGCCCAGCCTCAGCACTGTCATTCCATGACAGCAGGGGAGGTTTAGCCTTCTAATCAGTTCGTTACTAAATCGCACCTTGATTGGTTAATCAGCCCAGGTGCTAGAAGGTGCTTAGATGGAGCAGAGCTGCAATGGAATGGAAGCTCCAAGGCTGACTGTCCCTGCACTGCTGTGATGTTGTTGCTGCACTTTTAAAAAATAAGAGAAACATGATTCTGGGTTCTCTGGCTTCTCCCACAGTCCAAACACATGCCAGTAGGTTCATGGGCGCCTGGAAGCAGTGGCTTGTGTGTGTCTGTGTGGGCTCTGCACTGGACTGGTGACCTGGCCAGGGTGTACCCTGCCTGTTGCTTGCCAGGATAGGCTCTGGCTCCCCTGTGACCCAGAAGAGGAAGAAGTAGTTAGAAAATGAATACAAAATAAATAGTAATTAATACAGCAAACCCCGGAATTATAGGAATTCCTACTTGTCATTCATCTATTGAAATGGTGTTTAACGCATTCTTCAGTAACTAACAATGAATTAAGTCATATATTGGAAAGGACAAGGCTGCCCCCTGCCCTAAACACACTGAACAGCAGCTTCCCTCCCATGGAGCAGAGGGTTAAACTTAGGTTCCCAGTCATTCTTTATTATTTCCAAGAAAACTGCCAACAAACCCATGAATGTTGCATTGAAGAATGAAGCAGTTCTGTGAACTTGCACGAGCTGATGTCTCCCAGCTCTGAGACAGGGCTGTTAAATCTGTGATCCTCTACTCACGCAGGTCCACCTACTCAAAGTTCCCCCCTGAGGGGGTCCTGGCCAACGTGCTGGGCTTGTTGCTGGTGGTGTTCGGGGTGCTGGTGGGCTACATCGTGACGCGGAAGGAGTTCAGACGCCCCCGCCACCCAGAGGAGGAGGCCTTGTCCATGCACTTCAAGACCCTGACTGAGGGGGAGACCCCCAACACCCCTTAAAACAACCCCTGACCTGCCCTCCCCCCTTATACCTCCCCCCCCCCACCAAGTCCCTGCCAGAGCTTTACAGCAAAGAGACTGCAGAGCAGGGAGAAGCTCCACTCCTACTCCATCGGCGCAAATCTGAAGACGTGCAGTTATATCTAACACACAGCAGTGACCAGCTTCATGCCTGGAGTATGCGGAGGATTTCACCTGCAGGCAAATGCCCAATTGTTCTTAAATCCCAGGTGAACTCTTCAAATCACGAAGGGACACAAATTACCCAACATCATACTCCGGATTAACTCATTAATAGCTGAAAACCTTACGAAACTGGCACCTGGCAGTACACAGCTATGATCGGGATGTCCCCCACTGCAGTGGACACAACTGGGTGAGTCCTGCCTGAGCTGAGCGGACTTGGGTCCATCAGGGATCTTCTGTCCGTCTCGGCACGACAGTGACTCCTGAGGCCCGATAGGCACCTGCCGGCTTGCAGTGGTGTTAGCGCAAGACTGCTGCTCCCCCAGTCAGAGCTGGCGTTCCTGTAAGGCGCTGCGGAGCCCGCAGGCTTGCCAGCTGGGGACTGGACAAGGTGATGTGTTGGAGGTCCTCATTCTCAGCACAACGTACAGCAGTCCCCAAGGAAGGGAAGCGATTCACAGAGCGTCAGCGACTGCAAACTAGGTGGGTTCAGAATCAAAAATATCTGTAGACTCCAGGTTTTTTGGTCAACGAAAAGTTGGTCCCAAGTGAAATGAAAGACTACGGACAGGGCAGACGTGGAGAACAGGAACTACGAACTCCTGGCATGAAAGGCTCAAAGCCAACAAGATAATCTGATCATAGCTGAAGGCAGGACCCCTATGCCAAAAACCCCAACAATTTAAAATTTTAAATTTAAAATCAAACTAGCAATTATGACCGCAGGTCAGCACGTCCGTTATGATTCCCGTCAGTACACAGCCACTGTTTCAGAGTGTCAGTTTCACACTCCGTCATACTGAACCTGGAGTGAAGACGGTTTTACCAATGTCGTACTGCGAAAACATTTTAAAGAAAAAACCCAGCAGCGTTGGCACTTAAATTTCGAGCATGACAAACACTAGGAGAAGGTATACTAGATGACCGATAACAGCCTCTATGAAGGGGAGAGACCATCGTAAGAAGGCCGGAGCTTACAGCACTGCCACTCCTGTCCTCCTGACCTTCACAATGGGCTGCTCTTGACTAGGACAGAGAACGCCATCGTCAGACCACGCCCGTTATCTTTTAAATGTGCCAAACCATTTACATGAGTCAACCGGCGCAAGCTTCAAAGTGTGTATTTTTTTAAGATCATGAAAAAGAAGTATTTAAAATGATGTCCCTGCCTTGCCGACTGTGTGAGACCTGTTCCAAGCCCCTGGAGGGGACTTGTGGGGCATTAGGTGTGCTGTCATCTTGTGTATAGTGACTGCTCTGCTGTATTTCTCCCAATAAATATTTAATGCATTTTTTCTCGTTTGCTGCTTTAAGGGAAGATATACAAATATATACAAAAGAGAATATATACAAATATGCATTTCAAAGGAAATCCTTTTATGAGAAATGCCACAAGAATGCCATTCTGTAGCTGCAACACCAACTTCTGGGGAAACCAAAATCATTGGAAATGTTCTCTTAATGAAAAGTGCAGTAGATAGGCTTGCCCTGAGAGGATCACTGAGAATCATTCAACAAATCATCCTCTTGTTTGAATGCATTTACCAGTGATATCAGCTGAGCTGAACATCACTGCTTCTGAGAAACATTCTGACACACCAGGGCATCTGCAATGCAATCTGCCTATTTCTTTTAAAAAGGGGAAAAGTAACGAGCCAACCACAGACCAGTTTTCTGTCTTTGTTTTTTTCTTTGAAGTGGTAACCATTTATAAATAAGTACATTATTCTTCATACATACAGTGGATTGTACAGATTACAATCTTTCCGTAAGATAAAAACGCATTCTTTTTGAGTTTTTTTTTTAAACTTTATCACAGCGATCTGACAGCTCACATGTACAGACAATAGAACTCTGCTCAGCAAGCAAATACATTAAAATAAAATCATAAAAAACAAACTCTTACTTCTGATCTCCTCTTGTGGAACAGGAGAGAAAAGAGAGGGTGGGTGACTGTTAGCGACACCAGCTCCCTCGCCTCTTCCCCACTTCAATACAATATTCATATCGATATCACAAACCGCATCAGGAAATATTTATATATATACGTGTGAATCAGAGAGGAAAAAAAAGAACAAAACATGCATCAGATTATGTACAGCAAAAATCCTTTACATCAGAGATCTAGAAAAAAAGTCTTATTGTTCATTTTTAAAATTTTATTTAATTACATTGCAGAATAGAGCAGTTTCCGAGAACCTCTCCGCCCCGGCAATTTTCATTCAAAAGATAAAATCGATGCATCACCTGCTCTAGCTGTGTCCTCTGCACTGGAATTTATCTGAAGTAGGAACAGGTGTCCAGGGCCTTCAGGGTACAAGCCAGAAGATAACCTCTGGAACTAGCGTCACCTAGATAATCATCTGACATCTCCTCAGCCTTCCTGCATAGCTTTTGTAGTAGGGCTTCTCTTTCCCTGACCTTTAAAAAACAAGCACAAACACAGCTAAGCACCATCTACATCCCCAGATCACAGGACACCAGAATCACTGTGATAGGCCAACAAGGGCTGCACTGTCCCCCAACATTCTTACTACTACGGGCACTGAGTCGCCCACAGAAAACAACCACTGGAATTGATTAGAGGCTCATGTGCAGGATAATGTAGGATAAAATGCTTTACCAATTCAAGGACGGATGAACCTATAGTCAAGCAGAAATGTACTTAGCCAGTACTGAATAAATACTAACACATTTAAGCCATTAGCATGAAAGCCCACAGCAATCATCCCTTTTGTTTTTCAAAGGCACTAATGTTAAGAATGCCCTACCCAAATTCCCAGGGGGAATTCATAATCGGAGCATTTTATGGCCTGGGTTGTGGTTGAAAGCCACGTGTGTCCAAAGACAGGGCTGTTAAAATCCAAAGGGCACCAACAGAGAATGTAAATACTGGTCTTGTCTGCTAGGACTCAAGCTGCACTTTGCAACAGAGGGGAGAAGTAAATTCAGAATAAGAATAGACAGAAAACATCAAGGAAAGCTCACAGGTCCCTTTCTAATTCCCCCACCAGGAATAATAGCTGCCTTTCTGATCACCTTCATAGCTATGCAACCCTTTCATCTGCTCCAGTGGTGAGGAGGAAAGAGGTCAGGACAGGGAGACATAATACTGCAAAGACTTCATGCCCTGGGTCACAAACCCAAACCCCAAATGGACCAAGGTTCTCCTGCTTTGCCTGCACAAGCAACCATGTTTGGCAAGAGGTGCAGACCACAGACACGCTTGCCTGCTTCAATCTTAGTCTCATGCACTGCGACACCTCCTGCAAACAACATGCTGGTTTCCAAATATCAGCATTCCAGCTCATCACCTCCTTCAGAGGGTAAAGATCTCTCCACTGGAATTTTAGTCACCGAGTAACATGGGGTTACATGGTGTTGTTTTAACTTTTTAAAATAATAATCAAGGACAAGTGAATTTCTTCAATGTTTATAGCTGTAGGCTGTTAAGAGCTCCCAAAGGACAGGAGCTGGCTAATTGTTAAGAGACTTCAAGGCATCAAAGCTTTCTCCTACTCTGAAGGACCCAGTGCAAGTATTTCTTCACTGCCTTAACCCACGTGGGAGAAGAAAGACTGAGAGGAAAGTGTGGCCCCCCCATTTGATTTTTTACAAGCCGAAAACAAAGATGGATAAAAGCTGTGGACAGTCTAATGGTACTGGAACAAACCCCAGTCTGTCTAGTAAAATAAATCGTTTGTATTTAACTGCTGTCAAAACCTTTTCTTAAGGACAGCCTATAATATCTGTTAGATCTCCTTTTCATCTTAGAAAGGAGAAAATTAACTGGACAGAAAGGTAAAATTAATACAACATAACCAAAAGTCCTGCTTCATGTTTAAGCTTTATAATTTCTTATAATTAAACAGCAGACTGATCACTCTTCAGCTTTACTTTCACACCCTGAAGCAGCTGGACACCTGAACACTACCATAAACTGAAATAAACTACTGTAGCTCTGGGAGTTGTAGTTCCAAAAGACTATACAAAGAACTACAATTCCCGGTAGCCAGTGCTAAGTTCATCTTCCTGTGTGGGACTCACAAAAGGACTCTTACCTCTGTGGAGTGAAGATATTACTTTGCCCACGTTTTGGTGAAAACTGCCGGGACAAAGAGATTGACAGTAGGGGGTGAGAGGGCAGCGCTTATAGTTACAGGTGATTTGATAAAATGTCCCAATCTTTCGGCCATTATGTACAGCAGATACAATTTGTGCTATAAAGGCAATACATCTTATTTCTTAAAACTCTTTTTTGTTTTAAATTATTATGTATTTTATTTGCTTGGAAAAAATCCACCAAAGACAAGAACTGTTTGCTATTTTCTATTAATAAGAACAACTACTCACAATGAATTATCCAGTATTGTCATAAGTCAGAGAAGAATCCCCCTACACCCTCCAAAAAAAAAAACAGAATGAAAAAAATAAACAGACGACAGAACGGTAAAGTGCACCCTTATATACGAACTTCACAGGCTGTTAGTGTGGAAACCTTGTGTCGGCAATAATCATTAGAAAAGCTGAAAGAAAAGTCAAGGCAAGTAAAAACTGTGTGTTTCTGGACCCCCACTGCAGCTGCTGAAGGAAAACCTATTCACGATTCCACAGTACTGTTTGTTATCTTTAAGTGCTGGAGAGGGACATGTCCAGACTACAGTATGTACTGAGAGTCAGACTGCAATTAAGAGTTACAGCGTACAAACACACCCCTTCCAAAAAATGCACCATGTATTGACGTTTGCATAAATAAAAAAAAAACAGGGTACAACTGCAGCTCAAGCTAGATGAAGGTTAAAATGATCCAGTCAATGCCAGTAAGCAGAAGGTACTGGCACTGCGCTGAAACTCTCTGTGACAACCATACCTTAAGACCAGTGGGCACATACAGCTTGCAGGCAACATCATGAAAGCATACATCCACTGGTATTGCATACAGTATATGGCCTTATATTTCAATGTTTCCAGTTATATATGGTACAAAAAAATCACCATTCCCCTAGAACCCCTCCCACAATTATTTCAGTTTATTGGATTTCCCAGATGTTTCCTTTTGAGTTTCCATGAATGTTGTGATCCACAACTGCACCACGGTGAAAACTGTTACGTTTTTACAGACGCGATAAGAAATATGTTTCTCTTATAGATCTGTTTTCTATCTCTTCAGATTGCGTGCTGAGATCACTTCCATTTCCAACTCGCGAAAACAAAAATAAATAAGAATAATTACAATAAGTCAAAAGAACGCCAGCACACAAACTCTGTGACACGCGCACACAGTTAAAAATTCAAGTATTCAAAGGCTGCGAATGTCCCCTATTTGAAAGTGTTTTTTCCCCCCTAAAGTTTGAAGCAAGTTGCCCTTGACTTAACACAAAATGAAATACTACAAAAAATAAAAGCCAACCCCCCCCCCAGCCCAAAACAAAAACCAACCAAACCAAAAGTATATATATATAACTTAAAATTATAAATATTTTTCTCTTCTAGGTACAGGTTTGTCGTGAGTAAAATGGAAACATTACATTTACAGTATAGAACATGGCGATCTCTTTAAGAGCACACTTTTTTTTTTAAGCAGAGGAAATCAACTTCGTTCCAGGGGTGCGGCAGGAGAGGAGCCCAGGCTTCACCCTGAGGGTATCGTTACCGGGCTGACACTGGGGGGGACAGGGAACGAGAAGGGGCTTCCGATCAGTCGGGACACGCTGGAGTGTGGACGCCTCCGGGTCATCCACAGGGCCATCGGGACGCAGCCCCTCGCGTTTCTGACGCGCTTCTGAAATCGTCGTGGCGGGAGCCACCCCCCTGGGTGTGACTAGGGCCAGGGTTTCAGATCTCATCATACAGAAAAGCAGCTTCGCCCGTTGCTACAGAAATAAAAGCTCAGAAACTAACAAGAAGGTACTGCAGTGATTTACTCTACAAGATAATCGCGAGTTGAGCATCCTGGATCATGTTTTTAAAATCACCATAAAGTGTTTTTTTTTTTGTTGTTGTTTTTAAATTTTAAAAAGCGATCTTCTAGAGGATTAATACTTCGAAACGTGGTGCATGCAAAACTTGCTTGCCTTTTTTTTTAAGCCGTTCTTTGGCTTAAAATCGAATTTCGAAAAAAACGAAACCACCTACAGATTTTCACCTGCGCTGGAGTACTACGTCGGCACGGGACTACTGGAGGCTGTGGAGATCCCTAGGAACTGTGCTCGCTGCGCACGCGAGGGCACAGATGGGCAATTAGTGCAAGACCCACACAGCATCACCTTTGTTGTGTGGGAGTCCGTGGGTGCGACTTGATTTCGTCATGCGGTTTTCAAAGTCTGTGTGCTCTGGACAGGTCTACATTCCTCCTCTGAAGAGTCCCACGCTTTGGGGATCCGAAGCCTGTCTCTGCTATCCCTTCCCTCCCCCTCCACCGCTAGCCCCTCCCACACCTACACGTTCGACTCCACGAAAGGTCTCTTTGGTTTGATAGGCGAAGTTTGCCCCTGCCTGGAGTCCCTGGAGAGCTGCCTGTACATACTGTCCTGGTAGGCCTGCGCTACGGGCAGAGTCCGCGCCACCTTGACGTCGGGGTACGTGGGCACCTGGCTCACCCTCTCCAAGATGTCCCCCCCGCCCACCCCGCCCCCCATCCGGGAGCCGTTGGCCAGCTTGGCCAGCGAGGGCGGCGGCGCGTAGTAGTCATCGTCCAGGAGGTGGCCGTTCTGGGCGTTGTTGGTCTTGTTGTAGTAGGCGATATTGCCCAGGGAGGTGGGGGGGCTGTAAGAAGAGCCGCCCCCCCCGCCGCCCCCCTGCTGGACCAGGTTCCCGGGGGAGGTGGGGCTGGTGATGACGGTGTCCAGAGAAGACACTGCCCAAGGCCGTGACGGCTGGTGGAGGTACTGCTGAGTCCGGGCTGTCTTGTCGATGATGCCCATGAACGGGGTGGTCCGCGACCGCGTGGTCTCGGCCGCGTACACCCCCCCCGCCCGGCCGTCGCCCCCTCCCGCCCCCTGCGAAGGCGAGACGGGCGAGAGGTCGTCGCAGGCGCGCTCGTAGGAGGGCTTCAGCGGGATCTCCATCTGCTGGATGGAGGCGGAGGGCCGGAAGCCCGGGGCCAGGCTGCAGCCGGAGCCCGACGAGAGGCTGTTGCTGGAGGGGGAGAAGCGCAGGCCCACGCTCTGGGAGTGGATGAGAGGCCGGGGCGTCGGGGGGTGAGGCTTGATCTCGGAGGGGTTGGCGCTGACGGGCCGGCGCACCAGGTGGGGGATTTCCGGGGAGCCCAGCTGGCACTGGGGCATGCCGGCCGAGCGCTCCAGGTCGTGCTTGGATACGGGGTAGTAGGCCGCAGACTGGCTCCGGCTGATCTGCGGCGTTTGACCGTAGCGCACTCCGGCCGGCCCCCCTCCTCCGCCGCCGCCGCGGTAGGCAGAGGACGGCCGCTGGGGGAGCTCATCCTTCATGAGCCCCGAATCGACCCCTCCTCCCCGCCCCCCGTGCTGGCAGATGGCCCCGGCGCTCAGGCTGGCTTGCACCTGTGGCATGGGCCGGCCGTCCAGGGAAGGCTGGTACACCAGGCGGCTCTCCACGTCCACCGATCCCCCCTGGTAGCGGCTGCTGATGGGGTGCGCCATCTGGCCGTAGGCCCCGCCGCCCATCACCGCGCTGGAGTGCACCGCGGAGCTGGGCTGGTTGGTGCGCACGATCTGGGCCTTGGCTGGCTGCAGCCTCAGGCCCGGCTGCTGCTGGGAGGACTGGGAGGACTGGGAAGTCAACTGGTAGGACCTCTGGCTGCTCATCTTGGACAGCGGAGACTTGGGCCTCCCCGGGAGCTGCTCTTGCTGGTAGCGCACTGGGGATCCCGAGGGCGGCCGGTACAGGCACATGCTCTCCGCCGGGGGGCTCGCTCTGTACTGGGGCCCCCGGCGCAGGGGAGAGGGAGGGGGGCTCTGGTAGTCCTTGCCTTGACCCCCTCCTCCGCCTCCTCCACTGCCCAAGGGGGGCGGGGGACTGAAGCGGTAGGAGGGCACCTGGTGGGCCGGGGAGGTGTGGGGAGGGCTGGGACGGTAGTGGGAGTTCTGGTGCGTGGGAGACAGGGACGGCGAGGTGGACTGGTAGCTCTGTCTGGTCGGGGAGGCCATGGAAGGGGGGCTGGGGCGGAAGTCAAAGGACTGACCCAGCGGCGAGCCCCCCGAGAGGTACGAAGAGTCGCGGTGGGCCGGGGACGGCGGGGGGCTCTGGATGACGGGCAGGCTGGCGGGGTTGGACCGGGGCTCGGGCGGCAGGCCGATGGACATGCCCTCCATGTCCCGGTCGAGGTAGTCCTCGTCCTCGAAGAGGTCCTGCACGGGCTCCATGTCCTCCAGCCGCGGCTCTGGGGGAGGGGGGGGCTCCTCGGCCGGGGGCGGAGGAGGGGGCGGGGAGGGGGGCTGCTCCACCTCCAGCTGCTGCTGCTGCTGGCTGACCTGCCGGCACTCCTCCTCCACGCGCAGCAGCAGCCGCTGGATCTCCCTGTTGTTGGGACACTGCTTCATGGCTTCATTCAGGTCCTCCAGGGCTGCGGGGAACTGCCTGCAGGGGGCAGCAGAGAGGGACACAGACAGAGAGAGAGAGAGAGAGAGAGACAGGTGGTGATGGACAGAGAGAAGGCCCAGGGGGAGGATTAAAACAGGTACAGAAATAAAAAGGGACATTGATGAAAACGGCAGAGAGAGAGAGATTGACAGAAGGAGCGGGAGAGTAGAGCAAGGGACGGCAAACAGAATCAAACGACGCAGAGTAGCAGGAGAGGACAGTGGCGTCAGAGAGAGAGAAAGCGGAGGAGACGCACGTGGCGCCGGACAGGTGTGAAAGAGGGTGAGGGGGGGGGAAAGAGACAGGTGTGGGAGAGGGAGGGAGAGAGAAAGAATTGATATGTGAAAAAGAGACTAGTCAGGAAGAGGGACTATTAAACCTTAAAGGCTCCCGGTGAGGGGTTAGCGCCTCTAGATGAGCAGGGTTAAGAGTGAAGGGCTTCAGAGACCAGGTGGAGACGTGGTCTGATGTGAGCTGCTTGTACAGAATTTTGAAAAGCCAACAACCACTGGTCCCACTACACCTGACTGGGGCTCACATCTCAAAGCCTTGGGCTGCAGGGCAAAAAGTGTTCCCCAGAATTTTGCAATAGCGTCTATAAAAAGTTTAAGGAGCACATCCAGCAAGACACAAGAGAGGCTTGGGAAAGAGATAAGAAAAATAATATGAGCTCTGGAAAATTAGTTGATATTTTTCTGCAATTTTGCTCTGTTAAAAACAGCTTTGACAGGTGTGCTGCTATTTTTTAAGTGGTTCTCGAAGAAGTGTCTTTAATGTTAATCGGATATTCAAGATTCACGGGGACCCATATTTCAGTCTTGAAAATGCTCAGTATAGCAGGTTAACAATGAACATGAGAACTGTCAATGGGGGTTACTGGGATACCCTGGTATCTGTTGGGGTCCTGCAAACTAAATCTGCTTGCCAAGCTTTCATAATCCAATGTAATTGAAATGATCCTGTATTGAAATTAATTTTGTATTAGATCAGGGTTAAGTAAGATCAGCCCTTAGCTCATTTTAATTTACTGCATGTAAAGAGAAAAATAACACTGAGAATCAAAACAAAAAAATGAGGAACAGAAAGAAACAGGGAGGTTCTTGTGCCTTCATTCTGTTTTCTAGAGCAGTTAACCACTGAACATGAGAAAAAAAAAACTAATGAAAATGTCAAAGAAATGTACAATGTACGAATCAACAGTTAATGAAAAGAACATGAAGGAAAATATGCCAGATGAGTGCATCTTTCATCTTAATAGAAATGTCACTGCATTTAATTTTAGAATGCTTAAGATTTATGTCGTAAAAAAATGTTTAAAGAAGAGAGACTGTGGCAAACTTATGGTATGCTGCAAATGTTTCTTGCTCATAAGTTGCTTTCAAAAGCATAATGCCTCCAATGCAAATGAATGCAAATTGATTTTGCGCTAACAGTAGCAATGTGGAATAAAAACTGAGACCAGCGACTCTGCTGCCAATGGGAGAAACTCCAGGAGGCTGGATTCTCGAAGCGCTGAGAGACACCGTTTTTCCTCCCGGCACTCTCGGGAACCGCAGTGCGGCTCCGTGGTCCCACCTGCTCTAGAAAACAGGATCCCGCTGCCTGTCTTTCTGTCCCTGTCTCCGTTACCTGCTGCTGCGCTTGGCACGGGCTCTGGCGTAATAGGCCTCGTATGATTTTGGTTTCAACTCTAGCGCCTTGGTGGCAAACTCCTCAGCCATTCCAAAGTCCTGAAAGCAACAACAGGTCCAACCGTCATGCACTGTATCAGCACTGGAAGCGCCAGGCCGGGCGGGCATCTCGCCCACGGCAGCCCCAGAGCAGTGATGAGCTGTGTGTGTGTGAGCCCCACACTGCGCGCGCGCACACACACACACACACCTACAGTACACGCACACACACAGACGCACGTTTCCCCTTGTTCGCTAAAGCAAGGTTGGTCAGCAGGCGGCTCCTCTCGCGCACTCCATTGCCTGAACTTAACGCAAGCAGCTCTTTAATCGATATATTGATCCTGCTGATCAACAGCAACACAACTAAGGAGCTGGCTGCAGCCCAGTTCTGCAATGGAGAGAGCCGTCAGGTGTGTGCGACCCACAGCAAAGGCTAATCTGGGCCTGGCTGTGCACACGTGGTGGATACTGCAAATGAAAAGAACTGGCATAGCAGGGAAAAGCAAAGCATTTCGGTACAAGTAGGCCTAGTCAGCTCAATTCCAGGGCTTTCAAACTCAAGATAATTTTCGATACATTCATCTACAGTATGTCTCTGAAATGTGAAGTATTTCCAATTCAGCTGATTAACTGAGTCACATGTTCCCTTGTGTTGCTGGCTCTGGCTGGAGGTCATCTACTTAAGAAACCCTATTGAATAACGACCCCAATATTAAACAAACCAAACATGTTTTCCAATGATTATTAATTACTGTTATTTTCAATGACTGAACATGAACAGCAGAACTGCAGGTAAACTGATTCACTGTATGGAAGGACAAAGCCCCTGTGTGGGAGTGTGAAATTCAGACTTCACTTGGGGGGTTAAAGAGTTGGTTTTCTGGGGACCCCTGCTGTCCTGGGAGGGCTGGGAAGGATGTGTGAACCGAGTGATCACTTTAGATTACAACAAAAACACCACTGTCCTCAACCCCCCAGTCTCAGATCACTGTGGGTGCCGCTAAGTGGTAAAATGCACTCCGGTTTCAGGACTTGTGTTTGTGTATTATATTGGGATAAGAGAAATTTATAGATATAAATAAGAAAAGATAAAATATAAAATATATAAAATCTTATAAAATGATATTGAAATAAAAAAAACAAAAATACATGGTATGATGCAAAACACAAAACAGTATTAGACTTAATTTATATAGATAAAAGTGGAGGCAGTCATTTGAACTCCATACAACCTCGCCAGCTGTTTACAAAACACCACTGTCCATGAACCAGAAGCACTGATATATTTGGGATATGCTGGAACAACAGGCTCATTTTTCAACATGAACTAGATGATTGTTTTTTGCATATTGGAAACCTCCTATGCGACATTTGCCAACTGTCTTATGAGGGTCAATGAGAAGTGTTCAGTGTAAAAGTTTAAAAGCTCAGCACAGAAAATGCCAATATCGCTTTCCCAGATCCCTCTGGTCCGTTCAGAGCAAACAGTAACTCCATGAGGTGGACAGGTGGTCTGTGGAGGAACACCAGGTCCCCTTGGCCAGCAGTGTCTTGGGGAAACAGAGATACTAGGTACTGCAGTGCAGTAAAGGGCTTATTAACTCCTGCCGTGAGGCACGAGCTTCAGGGATTGAGAAACTGACACCTCAGCATCACTATGAAGCTGGACAACAAGCTCTTTAACTGCTTTTGTTTTAAGTATTTCTTTCACTTTAACCAAAAAGGCTGCCATCCTCATTCAGGACAGCCTCACGGTCAGCTGGTTTTCATTCCAGCTGAGCTCTGAATGACTTGACTCAATCAAATCTGTACTGAATAACTATACGTTAGTTGCCGAGTTTAAAGAAATGGTCCCTATAAAAAAAGGGCTGTTCAGACTACTGCCCTATAAGCATTTCTCCAGACACACAGAGCTGAAATCCATCCATCCATTTTTTAATTGCTTCATCCAATACAGGGTCTTGGGGGGACAGTCTGCCCCATTAACTGTACAATATACGACAATGTACAAGCAATGGGTGCAAGGTAGGATACACTAGTATCCTGGGACACCTGTCCATCAGAGAACACAATTGTGGGAAGAAACCCACGCAAACAGGGGGAGAACATACAGACTACACGCAGACAGCACCCCAGGAATGGAACCCAGGGCCCCAGTACTGCGAGAGGTTAGTAATGCAAACCTCTGCACCACTGCACCGCTGAAATCTATCAGCACAAACCCACACAGAAGCATGGCACACGGGACTTGAACACACGTCACAACACACACGCCAAGTCAAAGACAACACAAGACCCACCCTGACAAGCTCGCACAAACGCAACGCCACAAGCGGTTGCGTGACGGAGCTGGCAGAAAGAGCGATGCACGGAGACAAAGACTTGCCACAGAAGCACACGGCCATATCTGCTCTCAGCCGTCCCTGCCTGAGAGTTCAGCTCTGCTCTGAAGCTCTCGCCTGTCCAACTCCCTCCCAGGAAAAAAAACACTTCTTAAACCTGTGAGAGGGTATGCCACTTGTTCTTTTTCTTATCTGGTCCTGTTTCACAATATCTAAACTTCTACAGCATGAGCTGTACAAAAATTGCAGGTACATCAACGCAACACAAAGACACAACATGTATTACTGTATATACCCACAGCACTGCTACATATACATACAGTACACATGCACAGATACCGAACTTGAGTCAAGACACTCCCATACACATAGCACTGCACATTACACTTCCCTAAGCACCGTCACTATAACCCCTGCAATGCCAAGATTTCACTTTAGCTTAAATTACATTTTACGACATTACCAAACTGGGTAAAGTGAAAAAAGAAATGTGGCGGGCACTTTTTATACTTCTATTTACTGGCTATAAAGTACCAGCAATACAGAATTGAAGAGGAAGTGACAAGTAGTCCACAAGGCTTTGAAATATTTGCATCTCAGCCCCTAAGTCTTCATCTCTGTTTCTGTCTCATGTATCTGACTGGGTGATCTTGAACTGTTGTGTTGCTGAAGGCGATATTGTGAGGGACTGAACTGCATTCTCCACTGGTTCCACCCGTTTTCAACAGGACTGAGATCTAAAGGTACTTATGGTTGGACAGAGTGATTTATCTCAGTCTTCTCCAACCAAGGATCCATCCCCTGCCACTGAGGGAGTTCAATGGTTTTGCCCTGGAGTTCCTGAAGTTTCTTGGGGAGTTAAAACTGAATTTAAAACCAAGAACAGGAGACACGTCTTTACTCTAAGGGCTGTGGGAGTATGGAGCAACCTACAGAAACAGCTGCATGAAACCCCTGTGTCAGTTAGCTACTATCAAACAGACTAGACATGCCAAATGGCCTCCTCTCTTTTGAAATTTTTGTTATGTTCTTAAAGCCAGAGGGTACATCAAACTCCTTCCGTTTGCAAGAATGAAAATAAGCTTGGGATGAAATCGTTTTAAAATGTACAGCTGTCGGCACTCAAGACAAAAAGAAGCACTTAAAAGTAAAGAGGTTTCCAAATCCAAAACCATTCATCAAAATACAGTAGCCTTTCAGCTTGTAAGTAAAAGAAACAGCTCTTCACATATTTTGAATTTGATTTTTAATAGGAAACCAATCTTGATTCCCTGTTAATCAAGTGAGAAAAACTCCAATTAATGTAATTACAAGACATTGAATTTAAGTTGGAAAAGACCTACATTTGCACATATCAATTTTCACTGGGCGTTTCAAGGTTTCGGAGGACAATTATGTCTTGATTGCCTGTTCCACATATATTGTAAGTGATCAGTAAGGGAGAAGCAGGGTAAAAAAACGACAGCACAAACACCTGTGGTGCAAAAAAAAAATTGGAAGCTAATGCATCAAGTGCAAGAAGTCAGGAACTACTGAGCCAGGAAGAATCCCACAGCAGCATCTGAATCCGAAAAGGCGGAGGATCAGACACTGCCGGCCTGCTAAAACTCAAATTCAGGCTCCATCATTCCTGACCTTTCCTTTCAGCTACTGGAATCTGAGCAACAGGAGTACAGAACCCAGTAGGCACAGCCTGACAGGCTCCGCTGGATGAAGCAAGCTTCAGCGCTAGTCTCCAGATCAATATATACCCACCCTGTTCAGGGTTGATAACTGTTTAATAGCTGGCTTCCCTGGTATGAATCCTGGGGGGAATGAGGGGGCAGCTGTGCTGAGCCAGTTGCCTTCTGACACACTGTGAGCTCCGCAGCACCTGACAGGAGAGCTAGTGCTGACTGCAGTAGAGGTGAATCTGTCGCTGATGTCACTCAAAGCCTACAGGCGCCCATGAAGGAGCAGGAGCTTCTATTTCTCCAAGGGCTCAATGAGCCTGGCCTACTAATGCACACCCTAGAGAGGCCCTGTTTCCTGCCCCTGACCTGCTCACAGGGTACTGCTTTGCACAGGGGCAATGTCCTGAAGATGTCCTGTAAATCTGAAGGAGTGACTAGGAACAATAAGAATCTTGAGTCTCCTTTACTTTTCCCTGTTTCATCAATATGTTGTCTTTCCTTGAGGAAAAACATGCAAACCTTACAGAGGTGCTGGCAGTGTATGAAATGTAAAAGTTTTGCATTTGCAAATAATATACATTTATTTAGGACCAGAAACTTGTATTTTTTTGATTGCACTCTAAACGTATGTGCAGTACTATCTCAGGAGTGCAGGAATACACACAGTATGCTCAAGGACACACAATATGAACAGTTTGCTAAAATCAAAACACCAGCAAAGGAATATACACAGGCCAGTTTTACTCAGTAGTTAATAAGAGCATGAACATGCTGTAAATCATTTACAGTTTCTGTATTTGGCACTATTTATAAAGAAGCAATTAACATCTGTTAAACAGTTTTAGTGAAAATTGCACATGGAGGATATAAACTATTAATGTAGTCCTCATTAATTTAGTGGTTTATTCTAATATTTTGAGCAATGATCAAACTCTTCAGCCAGTCTGCTGCACTTTGGGCTGTTGTTTGCATGAGGCTGCTTACTGTGTGTTCCTGAGCTCAGGGTGAGAAGTTTCTCCGGACGGTTTCAGCATGTTAATCTAAAATCCACGGACGGCACGAAGAAGAGGAAATGATTCCAGACCCTTTCC